ATCTTACATAGTATAAAATTTTCTTAAAATTAAGCATTATAAAATTCTTACATCATAAAATTTTTCTATGTTGGCTAAGCACCTTGGTACCTTACATATATAAGCATTTTCCGGGGTCCTGGTTATATACATTGGAAAGAAGAAAGGCTTTTGATCCCACCTTTACATGAATTGCAAATATTAAGAAGTTACTTTTCTTTCATCTCCTATCGTATTTAGGATATCGTATCAGAAAGAAGTTTACTAGCAATAGTTAACGAAAAATAAGTCTATTGCAAATCTTGCTCAAAGCTAATTGGCACAATCTCACCTTATACCAACTATTAAAATTATGCCGGAAGCATGAAGAAACGAAAGCTTAGAGGAATAACGTACTCATGAAATTCCTCCATCACCTGAATTTAGCTCCTTCAAAGTATAGGCCAAGTGCTTTATATGATGCATTCACCAAGACAAATGTTTTAGGACCGGAATATATATTAGCTCTAGCGCGTGCACTTTACTAAAATGTGAATCGATACAGACAATTCGTTCATAGCCTTGGAATGGGGATTCCATGACTATGTATTTTTTTTCGCATATCCTATCTACCCACAATTTTCAAATCAATGTAAAACATACCCTGGCCAGAGTGGGTTGGCTTATAGAGATTCTGCAATAAGTTATAATATTCTTTTCCCTTTCCCTAACCCTCCGATAGTTTTCACCGACTATGAGATAGTGAAATGTCGGAATATTTTTTCGAATTGAACTTTTTCAGATATAGAATAACCTAACGGTTACGTATAATCTAGTAGTTACTTCACAAGCTATATTCACACAGCTAAGGTTGCTTGCCGAAACCTAGGGGTTTAGGCAAAATGGCGTTTCGCCAAAAAGCGAAATTCTGCTGAAACTATATTAAAGTTATATTAAAAAACTGGCGAAACTTTGGAGAAAGGTGAAACTGCCGAAACTTATTATAAATGCTAAAACTGCTGAAACTCTGCCGAAACTATAATAAATCTATGGTAAAATTTTGACGAAACTAATCGTAGGATTTTGAAGAGGTTTAGACAAGCAACCTTACACACAGCCATGTCCGCAATTGTAACAACGTACGTTGCAGAGCACAAACTCAATAAAGATATGAGTAATGAAGAACTTAGCCAGCACGCCTCAGCATTACTCGAGCTTTTGATGGATAAACTGAAAAGAGACAAGGGCCATCAGCGCTTCCAAAAAGGGTATAATTTTAGTAAAGAGCAGGCATTTGTATTAATCCCCGATCAGAGAATTTGCCGAAGTAGAAGTCGGGTAATTCCCAAAGAAGGAGGGGAAGAAGCAGGGGAAGTTAATATATGCCAAGTGTCTAATCTTATTCCAGGGGAGACGGTTGAGATGATAGCTCAACGTATTATGCGGGATAGCCTTGGTGAAAAAGAAGTAAAAGCTATAGCTAAGGCTTTAACGTCTCCTAACCCTGTCACCGCCACATCCTGTCTCAGTAGACTTCGAAGAGAGTTGCAGAAACTCAATGCCCCAGAAAAAATAATCTCTGCTACATATGATGAAAAAACAACCTGCGCATCTAATAAGATTCAAAAGTAGCATAGAGTTAGAGCTCCGCACGGGTCGGGTCAGGTCGGGTAATTTGTCTGACCCGAACCGAAAAATTTTTATCAGGTCGGGTCGGGTTAACCTGCTCTGACCCGATCTGACCCGTCTGACCTGAAAGTATTCAGGTCATTTTTCTATAAAATAATATGAAAAAACGCCGTTTTGGCGATTTTTTTCATAAAAGAAGTGGGAAAAAATGCCGTTTCGGCATTTTTCCATTAAATAATATGAAAAAACGCCGCTTTGGCGATTTTTTTCATAAAAGAAGTGAGAAAAAAATGCCGTTTTAGCATTTTTACATAAAATAACATGAAAAAACGTCATTTTGGCGATTTTTTTCATAAAAGAAATGAAAAAAAATGCCAAAACGGCATTTTTCCATAAAATAATATGAAAAAACGCCATTTTGGCGATTTTTTTCATAAAAGAAGTGAAAAAAATGCCAAAACGGCATTTTTTCATAAAATAAAATGAAAAACGCCATTTTGGCGTATTTGTTTATAAAAAGCAATGCCGAAACGGCGTTTTTTTCATAAGGTAACATGAAAAAACGCCGTTTCAGAGTATAAACATTTTTTTTGAGCTAAAGTATTCGGGTTAACAGGTCAATCGGGTCGGGTCAAACCTGTAACCTGACCTGATACCGGGTCACGAATTTGATAACCTGATCTGAATATTTCGGGTCAACCCGACGGGTCACCCGAATTGACCCTTACCCATGCGGAGCTCTACGTAGAGTGTAACGTGAAAATGAAGGGATCGATTTTCCAGACCATTTCTCGTTAGAATCAGTTAAGGAGAGACTCGATTTGTATGACGTATCTAAGACACCCACTGTGCAAGTCCTAGCCGATGTAATGATCATGTTTTGCATTCGTCCCGCTGAAATTAAAGACTTGCGCATTTCTAATGGAAGTGTAACAGGATATTCAAAAAACTGAGATCAGCAGGATAATCCTTGGGTATTTAAATCATTAGAAAGGGATGAAGAGCGGGCTAAACTTCTCCTTACTTGGATTCAGGATGCAATTTCTTCTGGACAGTTGAGAGATCCAGGAGTGCCAAAAGTTAAATGGTTTAATACATTTCTGAAAAAAGATAGATTGCTTCCTGAAACTGGTAAACCACTACTCCCTAGCTATTTGCGCAAATTGGGGCAGTATTTGCGATCATGTCGAATGGTGCAAAGAATTTATCAGATGCTATGACTATTGCCAGTAAAGCCCTTCGACATTCACCAGACAACCATGCTTCTCCAGCGCAAAACTATACTATAGTAAATTTCCGATTGAGGGAACAGCCTTATGATCAGGCAATGGCATTCGAACTCTTCGATGAAAACTAATCACATACATGGACTAGATATCATTTATTAATTTTATTTTTTCGCTTGAAGCAAGATATATCATATATAAAATATCGCAAAAATGGTAACCGATCAAAATCATTTATCTGATAGTGCACCCATTGAGCAGGAAGTGTCCAGATATAAGAAAATTGCTAAGCGGATTGCATATATGGATAGTGCGCTTTCTGAAAAGATGGGGGCACTGGATGAAAAAATGGATAACTATTATTCCGAGTATAAAAAGTCAGTAAAAAGGCTAGATAGAGACGTGGGATCTCTAGAGAGTAGATTAGACATTCTGGACGAATGTGTGGATAGGGAAACTGTGGTCGATTTAATTTATAAAATAGTTCCCTCGCTGATTAGTAGAAGAGGCCTAAAGGGGAATAGGAATTTCTCCTATACGATTGAGACAGATAAGTCCGAAGAATCAGATTCGGGTGAGATAGTTGAGGAGTCCCATGGGTACCAGGTAAGAGAAAAAAAAGCTGTCCCTCATGCTTTAGCGCCTTTGGCTAAGCAACGAAGAAGAGTGCGACCAAGAAAAGTTAAGCGGTTTGTAGTTTGAAGTGGGCCAAGCCAGGTGCTTTGCTATTTTTCGATCAGAGATATTAAGTTTAATATATAAATAATCAAAATGGAAAGTGACCAACCGGTTGGAGGTGTTCAAAAAACAAGGCATTCAGGGTAAAGCATCTGACGGCCTTAACCAATATTCTGTCCAAGTCTACTTCACCTGAGACTAGTCCGTCTTAATTAAACTCATCCGAGTCTGGCTCATCATCCGAAACTAATTCATCCGAATCTAGTTCGTCATTTGGTAGTTCGTCTGAATCTAGTTCCTCATCCGAGACTAGCTCATCTGAATCCGGTTCATCTGATTCTGATATTGATGAAATAGTAAAGATGATTAAGCATCAAAGGATTCGGAAACAGATCAGAAAGCGTCAAAGGGGAGTTTTAAAAGAAGAATGCATATCATCCATTCGGAAGATTTTTTCTGATCGAAAGCTATTCTAACTATATAAATAAAACAATGCATACAGACAATTTACTTGATCTTCTTCTGCCGGAGATAATATCATTTATTCTAAAGTATCTTCCAGAACAGGAACTAAAGAATTCTCGCAGTATAAATAATATATGGGAAAGAGAGGTTAATCTTGAATGGTCCAAAAGAATGAATTTTTTATTTGGGAGAATAGTTCAAGGCAATTATACAGTATAGGAATTTTATTCGAAACTGAAAGAGTGTAATTTAAGCAATGACTATCCAGAATGGCTTCTTAAAAATCTATTCTTCAGAGGATTATCACCTGAAGATATATTAAAAGTTCGTTTGGATGGGTTACAAGCACTTGCGTTAGATGACATAGTGGAAAGGCTTAGTCCGGAGCAGTAATTTACCAGCGAACTAGGCTCGGCTAATTTTATTTTTTGTTTAAAGATACAGCATATAAAACAGAATATTTATGGTGCATTCAATCATCTTTTATTTACCAGAAGTATTAGAACATATTTTACATTTCTTATTGATAGATAAATCCATCTACCCCGCTCTATTTGTTTCCCGATTGTGGTACAGATGTGGTGCCCTATTCTGTGGAAACGTATCGAATTGAGAGGGAAAGACTTATATCCTGAACAATCTCTTCCAAATGATTATAAAAATTACTGTGCAAAGGATCACCCTCGATTAAATAAATTCATAAGGATAGAACGTGCAAAGGATCTCTCTCAATTGAAAAAATTTATAAAGTTAGTACGTAGGAAGCAAACGCCAGTTTATTGCTCAAATGTAACTCATCTTGAAATATCATACTACCATTCACTTTCAGATAAAAAAATCATAAGCATTGTATATTCATGCCCAAATATAACCCACTTGAGTTTCATAAATAGCATAGCATTTAGTAATAGAGCATTAGAACTGATAGCGAGTTCATACCCGAATCTGAAGTATCTCAATCTATGCATTGATCGACCAGGTGGCTTTAGGAGCTTTTGTACTTGAGAAGTAGATGGCAGTGGTCTATGGAGAATCGTGAAGTCATGCCATAGATTAGAATATCTAAATATCTCTAATCGTAGAGAATATTCTGAAACATCAATTTGTAATGTTATTCGTTCTTGCCCAAGGCTCCAGCAACTCGACCTTAGCTTTTGTCAAATTACCGATATAACTATCAAAGAAATTGCTGGTTCATGTCTTAATTTAAAGTACCTCAATTTGGAAGGGTGTAATAATATTAGCAAAGAGGCCATAGATCAGCTGGTTTCCTCGCTTAGTCCAAATATCCATGTTGAGAATTTCATGCCGATTCAGGTACCTTCCCTAGATGTGATCTGTGAACTCGCAAAGAGTCTGGGGATACCACATGGTGCACCAAGAGATGTTGCATCCTTAGATAATTTTATCATCGACGAATTATCAAGGAGATTGAGTGAACGTTATATTCTAGCTAGACCATCACTCCGGAGTGGTGGTCGGTTATATAACACCCGGCATAGTTTTGATAATATTCTGAATCCGGGTCTATCTCAGTTATACCAGCAACTTAATTCCAATATATCTATGACTGTGGACTCTGGTGCCGATCACTCCACTATAGCTATAACCAGACAAGCGCCAAGGAATTATTCGGTAGCATTACTCGACGATCAAGCAGAATGGTGAAACTCTACTGATCTTACTAATTTGGAGCGGTGATCTTCAGCTCAGAAGAATTTGCTGGGCCATGCACAGTGCCTTCGGTCAGATTGTGTGACAAAAAATATAGATTAGCTAACCTGTTCTAGACATGGGCATTGACCGGCATTAGATGGATTTTTGACGAATATTTCGTGCAATTGTTGAGGAGAGAGCTTCGGAAATAATGGAAGCCCCTCTCCAGTAAACATAATTTTCTTTACATCCATTTCACCATATTTTGGAAATATCACACCTGGATCATCCTCTAAGGGACCATGAAACTCCTTAAGCTTCCGGAGACATGCTCTCATATTTTCATCAACTTCTTCCGCTCTTTCTTGATTAGAATAGTCAACAATGTCGAGTTTATCCTGAATTGCTATTATATCCTCTTCCAAACACATAAACAAATTAAATATTTCACCAAATGGAATATCTGTAGAAGCTTTATTGCTTCAGAGTGCCTCTTCTAGAATGGGATTACCATCAATGTTGAGTTTCTCCTGAATCGGTATTAAATCCCCTACCAATTCTAACAACAGCTCGTAAGAATCGGCAAGTGTTTTCCCCATGAGCTCGGAATCTGGAGGCACTACTAATTCATTTGCATTGCCAGGGTCAATACCGAGTTTCTCCTGAATAGCTATTATATCCTTCTTCTTATATAAAAACAGTCCATAAAACTGAGCAAGCATTTCGGGATTATTATTTGCCATGATTACTATAATAAAGTAATATATTTAATGCAGAAAATTTAGCGAAGCGCCTTAAGGGCCGAGTCCGGAATACTGATCATCAACCCGATCACCAGCTCGGAAGATTTTGCTAAGCCATAGATTTCTGTGCAATGATGTAATGGCCGATCACACGGTCAGTCTGTGAAACATTATTTTTTTGCATATATATTCAAAAAAGAAAACATACTAACCAGTACCTATATTTTTTCCCCAAACAAATGTGAGAAAATGTGAAGGGAGGTCTACATGCAACACAGGACCAACTCTAAAAGTAAATAGTGACGATAAAAGCATATGTTATGAAAGGCTGAGGGACACGCAATTCCGAGATCGCTAGGCGTAAAACTAAGTTTGTGTCTTCCGGTAGATCTACATGTGAAAAGGTATGAGGGTTCCGTTTACATGTGCTTTCATAGAGCTCTTGGCATCATACGACAATGCTAATCACTATTCTTATCTCCTTAACTTCGGCTTGGTGCTCTTTTTCCAGCAAGATATAAAGCATGTAAGGGCATGTGGAAGTTCACCCAACATCCCTGCGAAAAAAATTTCCTAGAAACATAACGCAAAATAAGGTATGTATATGCCAGAGAGGGCAGTCACTTTGTGACCCCCAGTTATGTATGGGGCGAAAGTTTCTCACTATGGGCTTGTATTTAGGAAAACAAGATGACTACCGGCAACATTAATAATATTTTAAGCCTTAATTGCATTATTCCTGGTGATGAATTCGAAGATATTTTCACGTTGGAGATATCTGAAGATAAGCTGGTCAACCAGCTCAAACCAATGATCAGAAAGTGGTGGCCAAACCGATTCCAACATATCGATCCAAGTAAACTTATTCTCTACAAAGTAATTGATGCGAATATTGCTTTAGGTTTTTCCGAAATCTTAAAAAAGAAGAAGGAGGAGGGTGATAAGAATTATGGGCAACGCTTGCCTCCATTGAAAAACATCCGTATGCATTTTAGTAATGATCAAGAAACAAATTCCATTAGCTCTAAGCCAAATAAAGGTAGTGTCAGCATCGTTGTATGCCCTCCTGAGGATAGATAGGAATTTTCTTATTCACAGTATCATGTAGCGATATAGTCGTGCGAAGCGCCTTAACGGCCAATTTTATGTATTGTAGGCCATGGGTTCCGGCAACGTTTTTATTTCATAAATAAAGTATTATTATTTTATCGGTACATGAGAAATGGGTCACGTGTAATGATATGGGATGTTCGATTTGCGAACCCGATCACTATGTATATCGGACTATAAATCTAACATTTTTATCTGAACCAATCTAGCCTATATAAAAACGTCAGGTGATAAGTGAGAAGAGTCTAACCACCCTAGCGTCGCCTAGAAAAAATGGTAGCCGGATAGGTTTTCCGGATTACACGTGATTCGGAAACTGATTTCTGGGTTAGCTTGTTAATTTTTATTATAACGTAGTAAAAAAAACTTCGATAAATAACTGAATAAATTAATATAGTAAATATTTAAGTATTTTAAGAAAATTGCTGAAATTTTATTTATTGCTATGATATTATTTATTTTATTTATTCCCAATACATTGTAATTTTGTTAAAGTTTTTCCATGTTTTTGGCATTGTTCAACAGTTTTCTAGTGCTTTAATATCTATTTAATTTGTTGTTTGTTATTTTTTTTGATCAGAAATTTCTATCCTCTTCCTCAAGTGTTTATAATGAGAAACTTTTTCTATAGTAACACGTATTTCAAATTATTTCATGATTACATTGTTTCATATTATTACCAATATTACCAATGAAAGGCGAAGTAAAGGGGCATAGACAAGGGTATTTTTGCCATAAAATTGTCATTTTATTAACGATTTTGCCACGTTTTTTAATTATTCACCTTTTCCAACAATCTGAAATTTTGCAAACATTTTTTAACCATAGATGTTGTTTTGGTTTGTTATATGATTCTTTTAACAATTCTTTAGCCTAAAAAAATTATTTTGACATTAGTAAAGATTAAAAATGCATCTGTATATGAAATTTATACATAGTATTAACATGCATGCCTTGATCGTGGATGTAACATTTTATGAGAATATTTTTAAACTTTAATTAAGTCCAGTTTTGATAAGATTTCTATATTTATTGTTCCTTCACAATGGTACCGTTATAAATAGGTAGATGTGTCTCTTTGTTTATCTAATATAGGATGCTTTACTTGCCGTTTTCCAAGTTCAATTCGACAATTGCAATAATATAATATATGAAGAGAGTCTTTTTTTTGATTTTTATTCCGATAAACCCATGAATAGCCATCATCTTCCGAAGTAAGTATTATTACAGAAAGATATTGATGAAAAGGTAAAAAGGTAAAAATTGATTTATAATCAATTAATGTAACCGGAAATCAGTTTCCGAATCACGTGTAGCCAGCAAACCTATCCGGCTACCATTTTTTCTAGGTGATGCTAGGTAAGTTGAAGAGTCTTCACAGTTAGTGAGGCGCAGTGATTAGGCGAATGTTGCACCTATGATGCAATGTGGCTGATCATACGGCAGGCTTGTGAAATAGAATAATTTCTCACATATACCCTGCCTCAGTATTTTTTCGCAAATTAAATTCTTTTTACTCTTATCCTCACATACGCCAGTTTGCACCAATAATATTCCAAAGGAAATACGACCGCGAGTGCTTTTGCCGTAGATATTAATAGGGAAAAGTTGGTTAGCCACCTCAAGGACGCTATAAAGGCGAAAAAACAAAATGACTTCGCTGGTATTGACGCAGACAGGCTCAAGCTATGGAAGGTATCGATCCCTGGCGATCAGGATGATCAATTAAGAAATCTAATACTCCAGGACAGTGACGAGCTGTTGGCAATAAGAAAGATTTCGAAATATTTCCCAGACTCACCTCCCGAAGAACATATCCATGTTATTGTAAAATTGCCACGTAAGTGTCTGGTATAGTCTTTGCAAAGCGCCTTAATGGCTAATTTTTTGTCATTTGCCCTAGTAATAATAACACATATTCGTTTCCAGTTCTCAGCTTGGAAGAGGCGTTGTCGTGTATTCCACCACCCATAACATATTCTCCGTACTGTACTATATCGAAGACCACTACAAAGGTTAATGGTGACCCGCCAACAAGAGTACAACTCTGGGGAGACTTTTTTGAGCTAGTAAATCAATTCTGCTTCGACCAACAACCGATATTCGAGAGGCCACAATTTAACTAAGATATAGAGATAGTCAATGAAAAGGATGTTCACGTTGCTATATCTATCAACATTTGTTTGATGTTAAATAAGCTTATGGGATCAGATTATAATTTTTCAAAACGTCCACCTACTTCTCCTGGTATACCGGATTTCACCTGTCATCTCGTGGGTTCGTTGATCTTGGTGATTGAGGCAAAAAGAAAGCATGTTTTAGAAGACATGGGTGAACAGACATTTTCCGAGTTTTATAATACGAGTAAGGGCAAGGATGTAATTCAATAAATCTATAATTATATGGGAGGAAACGAACTTAGATATGGTATTCTTACCACCTATGATAATCACTGGTTTCTATGCCGAGAACACACGAAGCTCTGAATCTCAAAAACCCTTTCACTGGAATCCGAATCTCCACCCGTACTCAAGGCATATGCTTATCTAACTCAACAGGCGAAAGAAAATCCCAACTCTCCTAAACCTCAAGTACTAGTGCCGACTCAAGGGGACAATGATTCACATACTCTTCGGTCACACTCAAAGTCATCGTCCAACTCCTCATTAAATCAACAACAATCTTCCAGCACCTTTGCGAATCAACAATCATCTTCTAACACTTCTGTTAAGCAGAACAATTATAGCTTCTCAGACTTTAAGTTCAAGAGCATATTAGGTGAAAGACGAAGTGGGAAAACCCTTCTATGCGAATTTTGTGGAGATATGATTGCTCTGAAGAGTGCAGACTTATCGAAGACCCCTTCGTATGTCCTGGAAGAAATGCAGAAAGAAGTTGAGATTTGTAAAGACCTCGCTGATATTCAAGACAAATATATCTCCAAGTTGGTCTGTTATGGATATTATGGAGGAGGTATGAGCTTCGTTATCGGCATGACTATTGTTGGCACTTCGTTGAGCGACCAAAAAATAAAGAAACAGTAAAAGACAAGGGCTATTAAGGGATTAGAAGCGATCCACAAGCATGGCATCCTCCACAATGATATTCGGGAGGAAAACATCTTAATTAACGATGACGGTGGCGTCTATCTGATTGACTTCGGTATGGCAAGTCAGGAGGACACAAAAAAGAAGAGAAAGCTTTTCGAGGAGGAACAGCTCAAATACTCTAACTTGCTAGATAGATATAATATGTAAGAATTTATTATTTCGCAAATTCCTATTTCTTGCAATCTTGCGAAGCGCCTTAACGGCTAATTTCTTATAATTAATAATCATGTATTTTACAGACATTTCGTAAAGAAGGAGGGGCGAATTTCCAAATCACGTAAATGTCAGGTGGTTAGTTAGACTGTAGGGATATACATTAGACATTTAGTATAAAAGCGTCATGTATCACGGGCAATGTCCCGAACATTTGTATTTATTTTAATAAAATATTTTTTTCTTGGCATTTTTCCAAGACCGCGTGGTCCCAGAAATCTGGTGACTTTATAACCTATTTCTCTTGGTAAAATGACAGTCTCTATGTATATATATACTAACTAACTTTTGAATATTTCACTTCTTGTATAAAATTTATCAATCATGTCATCCGAACTTGAAGTATTGAAACAGCGTATCGTTGAACTTGAGGCTAAGAATGCCGAGCTTGAGGCAGAAAAAGCTGAACTTTTAAAGCGGATTATGGAGGAGAATACTAGACGCGATGTTAGAGTTGAGGAACTGGAGCAAAAAAATAAGGAGCTTGAGACCAGACTTGTGATAGTGAAACAGGCTTCCTTACCAGTGGAAGAGCAGACGTATAATGATAATCTTTCTGACAATAGTACATCTAACTTTAATTCAGTTACAGAGTATCATGAGAAACCATTGGTGGATGTGGAAACAGATAATTCCTTTCCTGAAGTGATTTGCTATAATAAACAAGAACTGGTGGCGACGGTACCTGCCAACTCTGCGAAGCGCCTTAATGGCAAACCGTTGGAAGAGAAAGATATGGATAGTTTCTTGCTTGAGGCTCATAAGAAAATCGTTAGTAGTAAAATAAAGCAACGCAATAAGGAGAAGAAATTTTTACGTAAATCGGCTAACCAGGACAGCATCTCCGATACTGCTTATATATTAGAAACTGTGGTGGTTGCTCCTCAATTGGTCATTGCAGATACCCCTCAGGAAGAAATTCCCACGGTAGATTCGAAAGTGACGCACGATATAAAAGCAGTTAACAGGTATCCTGAAAATTCATATGAGGATGTGCATCAGATGAGTTTAAAAATTTCGGAAGAGTTCAAAAAAACCGTTTCCTCAGGGAATGATCAGAGTCATGTGACTTCAGTTAAGCCAGATCTCGAAGTATCCATGGAGCAAGATGATGAGCAGGAATCGCTAGATAAAAATCAAATCATAGAACAGGGTCTAATACAAGAGCTGTGTGGTACCTTTGACACCTGTTCACCCATATCCAGTGATGACAATATCAGCTCCAATACTAATTCCTCTTGCAATGGATCAGAGAATATGATTTTGGGTTCTGCCCAACACTTGTCCTATCTATTCGATACAGCAATAAAGTCTGGTCAGCAGGAAATCTTAGACTGGTATAATTATTCACTTGAATTCGAGAGCAGGGTAAATGCTCTTACTGCTGATGGTAGAATCAAAGATAAAATGGCAAGATCAAAGATTTACAAGGAAATGAAACCATTTCTTTCTGCTAAAATCACACAAGATAACTTGCGCAAGAAAACTCTTAGGGCTAGAAAACACCTCACGTTATTTGGAAAAAATGTGAGTTGGGATAGACAAAATCAAGTTGGTCTCATATAGCGCAACTGAGATTTCGAAACTAACTAATGCACAAATCCAAAATGTCATAGATCAAGTAAAAAAATATATTAGTGATCATCAGTGTCATGTGACTTTGAAAACCGTTCTCTCAGGAAACGATCAGATTAAGGATGAGATGAGTACATCGGCAAGTGTATCATCTGCATCCCAATCCCGCTCTTCTGGAGCCTCTAAGCCCGATCATTCCTATTTTCGCAACAAGATATTGGATCAATATCCTAATCTATATAGAGAATGTAGTAGTGAAAATTTTGATTATTATGGGATTACTGATGAGACATCAGGGGACTATATCTGCCCATTATGCAAATTAGGTCATGATGATGAAGAAATAGAAGGTAGGTATAAAGCAGGATCTTACTTTATTAAATGTGAACAGCGTGAAATTGAGATAGTTGTGTAGTCTCATTGCTTTACAATAGTCTGGGAATTTTAATCTTTTTTTCGAATGAATAGGTCTATATGAGAAAAAAGGGATTTAAATTCTTTGCAGTCATATAAAAAGGAAAATAACTGAGTCTGTTAAAATACTAACCGCCAATTATCTGGATTGGCATGCCAAATTAACTGGGTTACCAAGTATTTTGACAGATAAGATTCGTTCCAAATTATACAAAAGATATAAAAAAGAAACTGGAAATGAGCCATGGCAACTATCAGAAGTACATGAATCGGAAGTTATAAATTCAAAGCCAGAAAAAGGGCCCATCACCTTCGAAGCCAGACCCGATCCAGAATTAATTATCAAATCCGTCTTAGAGCACTTCCCATACTTGAAATTCCGAAATAGTTTTAGAGGGATTGATAATTATAATTTTGCATCACCTCAGCCGTGGAGCTCACCATGTCCTATTTGCGATGGAAAACATGGAAATTATGGATTACATGGCGAATGGTATAAAAATGGAACAGAATATTGTCTTACTTGCTTCACTTCAAGCAATAAATTCAAATTCGCGATCGTAGCATATGCCAGTCATGTGAGACCGATCACCTGAAATGCGCAGTATCCAGAACCAAAATAATAGGACTGTGCAACATAAGGCTGAATTAATGAAATTTTGGTCACACAAGAATTTTTTGACTATATTAATACAATATATCATGCCGAATTTCTTACCAAACAATCAGGATAGTACAGCTTATAAGGAGCTGGAAGGCGTTTTGCTAAGGCAAAACTACTTTGAAAAATGGCATATATTTAGGGGATGGAAGCATGGTTGTAAGGTTTGTGAAGAATGCAATCATCACTCACATCTGTATTGCAAAAGGTGTAAGAAAGTAGCGGAAGGAATTTATAAGCGATGTGAATGTTCTCAAGTAATTTGATCAATAAAGCAATGATGCGAATTTACCAGACGTTTTATAATTTTTTTGCATGGAGTGAATGATGAGATTGTGTGAAGCAATGTGTGTGCTATTATTTTTTCGATCAAGTTTTAAAATTGTAGCTTGATAAATAAATGCGCGGTAATGTTATACATATATCACGGGAACAAGTAATTGCACAAAATAATTTATTCTCAAACTTTCTCGCATATTCTCAAAATTATTACGTATATTATTGTAAAAGGACCCCTTGATGATCTTTACATATGGATAGCGTTAAATTCTTTTATTGTTAAATTAAGGAGAGGTGGTTGATCAGATTTTCGTGATGCGATCATATTAACGTAATTTCCCCCAAAAGGACACTTCCAAATCGATCTTGCGATTTATATAAAAGGAGCTGGCCCAGATAGTGAACCCTTTTAACTGCTTGCGCAAATATAAGCAAATAATTAAGCGGAACTATAAAACATAATCAAACTAACCAATAATCACCGTTAATATTTCTGATCAAACTAATTCTATTTTTTCCGCAAAGTAAAAATAAAGTAAGTTGGTTTATTGCTCGGCTAACTTCATGAAACATAACATCATGATACTAACCATTTTCCCGACCCTTTAGATGTACAAAGCGGGCATATTTCTTTTCTTGTTTTATATCGGCACTTTGATCCTCGCCGAGAAAATCACGATTGCCGGCACGTGGCAAGACAGCGCAGTAAAATACTACAGAGAAATAAATCACATGACCATAATTTCAGCCGGGGCGCCCCTGCCGAAAAATCTTACTTATATTGGTAAAACTATATTATGTGCCCATGAGTCGGCAGGAATTTGGCGCAGTATAACAAATAAAATTTCTGGCAATAAAATAATAACCATCTTCACGTGCCAAATTCTTGAAACTTTTCGCAGTATCGTAACGGCGATAACTCAGAAAAAATTAAGCAATAAATTTCTTGTATATGAGGAAGAATGGAATGTTGTGAAAATGAATCATGGTAAGTATGAATTGGAAATATTAAATATTGCATTTCTTATTATTTTACCTCAGTGTTAATCTCCCGAATTATCCATAGATTCGAAATTACTTAATCCCCGAGAAGTTTCATTACGGGGAATATTATTTTACATAATCTGCGTGTTTGGGAGAGATATAGATAGACAAAAATCCTGTAGACATTGGTGGGATAATTTATTTCAGAAATCTAGTGTAGAAAGAGAGTATTGTTATGGAATCTCGTAATTAGCAATTGATAGAAAAAAATTAGCTATAGATATTTTCCGAAAATGTGAAAAATAATTTGATGCTGGGACTCGCATTAAATGGCCTCCCTCTTTGATAGCATCATACATTTCATTTTGCTACCTCAACTTTTTTACTGAAAAATTAATAAAGTTGCATCAAAAAAAAAAAATAAATTATTGTTTTATGTGCAAATATGTAAACGTGTGTAAGAGCCGGAAATCCCATTTGATGAGATGTTAGACGCACATTCTGTGATGCAGTAATTGTATGAATGGCGATCTGCACAGATTCAATGGATATCTTGATATTTTACTTATAAATGCATCAAGAAAGTAACTTTGTATCATTTTGCAATCAGCACTGCGCTTATGCAACAATTGATTTCTCATTTTTGCGAAAAAAAGAATCGTAAAATTTTCACACAATGTCAACGAATTCTTTACTTATATCTGAGAACGAAAAGCAACTTAATTATCCAAGTAAGTGTAGCGGATTGGGATCTTTATTTTATCAATGAGATGCCCGGCTCGTCGCTCGATGAAGCACATAAAACACTGGCGAGTGAACTCGAAATACTCCTTAATCACGTTAATAAAGATAGTCGTGAGTGGTGCAAGGCAAAAGCTATCAAGAAACAGCTTAAGGTCTGTTTTAATCTGTTGTATCGAGATGGCGTAACCGTACCCTGCGGACTCTATCGATTGACGGGCATTCCTCTGCTTGCCTGAAGTGGGTAGCATGTTATGGTCTGAACCTAAAGGTTCCACTATGTCATGTGTGGTTACGCTATCAATTTTTTTCGCAAAGTCGTACCCTGCGGACTCTATCGATTGACGGGCATTCCTCTGCTTGCCTGAAGTGGGTAGCATGCCATGGTCTGGACCTAAAGGTCCCACTATGACATGTGTGACTGCGTGATTAATTTTGATATTTTGTTCTATTATATTTAACATTTACTTACGGTTGCCTTCCCTTCCGGTTTCTTATAGTTAAAAAAGCCAAAAAATATTGTAAACGCGATGATTTGGGAGAAACATCAAGAAAATATACTAAAAGTTACAGTTGAAAGTAAAATCAATGAAAATGTTAATAAGGTATTCTATTCTACTTTGTTCTGAGTGAATTTATCGTCTACCTTTCCTTTCTTCTTATACATTGTAATTATTAGCGTAAAATCGAAGATGTAGCTAGGAATGCTACAAGCGCAGTAGCAAAAGCTTGCTACGCACCGAATGGTTGCGAGATCCCCAAGCGTCCCCGAACAAATTATAAGAACTTGGTATATGCTCGCATTTTTTTGTTTAAAATTGCAAGAATCAGAACTGATTGTGTTGTGATTTAATACTTTAGGGCGACCACAAACAACAGCCACGAACTCCCGAACGAAATATTGCGTGGAGAGATGAAAAAGAGAGTTCACTTTATGATACTTTTCCGGTTCACATTCATAAGATACCTGAACCAAATCCTTTTATAGTTGGAAATCAGAATGACCATGATATAAACGAAAAGGATGATGAATTCAATGCGGAATTAACTATTGTCGGCGGAAAAAGTATAGATTGGATTATTAGCGGAATTAATATCAGAGAAAAGTTGACAAAATATCAGCTTGATGCAAATCTATCTAAAGCCAATCCAGAATATTATGATGTTGTTTTTTTCAATTTAAATGACGAAGACGGTTTCTTAGGAACGTTAGATAAAGGTATTGTTGCGCAGATGCGTAAGGAAATAAAGAGGGCAAAAGTAGACACAAATGATAATATGGACCAAGAGATTAAGTTATTTCTGAAAAGTATTGTTCGCCGTGATATTAAGAAGACCAAAGAAAATCTTAATCAAAATGCTGAAAAAATTGGTTCATTTGAAAAGGGGTTTGTGTTACATTTTGTGAAGCATATGTAAGTATATTTTATTTGACTATTTGATTCATTGAGAAGTGTGATAACACTAATGAAACTAATTTATATAGGGTAGAATTAATTGATGATGTGAATTTGTTTAATGATTCTATGTCCGAGGGAACCTATATCGTAAACGTTCTAGCACCCATTCTTGGTTACTTCTTTAACAAAAAGAAAAAAGATTGGCTTGTTTCATATGGAGAAACCTGTCTTAAGGCATTTGCAACAGATATTAACTCTAATAAAAAGGATGATGAACGCCGATCTTCAGGAAAAAAGATTGATACAATAATTAGTATGAGAGAAGAAGATAAAGAGATCTCTGTAATCGAAGTCAGTGGACCTCCAACGAAAAATGATTGGACACACTTCACGGGTGATCGTATGAAGATCATGAAGATGTTGAAGACTTTAATGAATCAATTTGCCAAACTCAATCCAAGCTCAGATATCGCATTAATTAGGTTATACGGGTTACAAGTTTATTGTATGTTTTTAATATTTTTTTTTTTGTATATTATTGTTATTATGCACTACTAATTCTTGTGTTTTTATAGTAAATGAATTGACCATTTACGAATTTCAACTAAGATATAGCGAGATTTACACTATAGAAGCGATATTCACATTTTCTCTACCTAAAACATGGGCAGATATGGCGAAGGCTGATAAAGCTATAATAGGCTTGTTGAAGTATGAGGTTCGTATAAATGGATTTAGAAAAACCTGATTACAGTGAATACAATTAACAATTTTAATTCTTTTAAATTAGCGCCTATTATCTGAAAGTTCCAAAACTATACGGGATTTTTTGTGGTCTAGTGGTGGTGAAGCTGAAGCTATTAAGATGGCGACCAGAATGATTCACACTCCTAAAAGCACCGAGAAAGCTAAAAATATTAAAAGTACAAAAAAAATGAAGAAAAAGAATTGAGATCGCTATATTTTTATTCTGTAAATTGAAGTTTCCAGCTATATATCTAATTAATATGCCAAACATTGTATTTATATTGCATAAGTAAAGTTTCACCTGATTCTTTTTACTTAGGTGTATGCACCAGAAAATAAAACGCGTATGATTAAGAATTTTTTATTGGTGTAATGATCAGAATTATGTGACTCTGTGAAAAAAATTCGCGCACTTTTTTCCCAGCTTCGTTACAAAAAATGTTTACCATTACTGACCGCGAACAAAGTGAATTGTCAGGGGGCAGTTTTTCCCAAAACTTCGTCCCATCCTAGCCGTATCCTGTGCGGATGTTCGCGGGGTACAGTTAAATCAAAAACAATGAATTTATGTTCACATAAAGCCTTGTCAATAATCTTAATCACACTACGCCAGTCATTAGCATATTGGCGCACAATTCGGACTAGCTCGTCCCTGAAAAATAAAGCGCATATACTTTGCTATGCTATCAAAATCAATGATCACAGGTATTTGAAGTTTTGAGTTTAATCAATGAGACCCAATTCCCGAAGATGCTCTGGAATAACTACATATGGGTCTTCATGATACCAAACGTATCTTAGTGTAATCCAGTTCTCTTCACATAATTCTTTCTTTAGTTGATCCCGTGCTTGTTGCTTGATAAAATTATTCGGGTCCCCTCTATGAAAGAATTCTATATATTTTTCGTGTTGCTCTCCTTGCACTTCAATTGCAAATCCATATTCATAATAGGGAATATCAAGTTCTAACCCTTTAGGATGTTCAGGGATTTTCAAGAAATCTGGTCTGCGGTTTTCAGATGGTAGACCAAGGTATTTTGCTACAATTTCTCGACATAATTGTTCGCGTTTAAATCTATAACAAAATGGACACCAGGTACCACTTTTCACATTACTGAGAGATGCTTGCCATATATGGCCTTCTTTGCAATACCATAATAGTGGTAATTGATTATTTTTATACTTAGTTGAAAGGCATTGCCCATGTCTAGATAATGCAATTTGCTTCGCGTCCTCAAGAGTTAATTGCATATGACCTGCGCAATATGGACACCAGCATCCTTGTTGAATACTATTGGGAATAGCTTTCCATCTATGTTTATTCTTGCAAATCCATCCTAGCTTGACAGATGAGTTATAGTATCGTTCTGAAAGGCAATCTCCATTTTTTATTTGCGCGAGTTTACGCATATCCTCAATAGATTGATATCGGCCAATACAAAACGGACACCATTGTCCTCCATTTTTAATATGATTAAGTGAATTTTGCCATTGATGATTAGATTGGCAACGCCAAGTAAGTGGTTCAGCTATGTTTTTATATTCAGTTGAAAGACATTCCCCATGTCTAGATAATGCGATCTGTTTTGCGTCCTCAAGAGTTAATTTCATATGTCCTGCGCAATATGGACACCATGAACCAGAATTTTTAATATTATTAAGTGGGATATTCCAAATATGACCTTGATGGCATTTCCATGTCATAGGAGTTTTGGAATTTCTATATGTGGTCGAAAGACATTCACCATTTCGGCTAAATGCAATTTGTTTGGCATCTTCAAGAGTAAGACGAGCATTGCCTGCACAATATGGACACCACTTACCATTTTTCACATTTCCAAGAGATGTATACCATAAATGGTTTTCTTTACAACACCACAATAATGGCAACTGATTATTTTTATACTCAGTTGAAAGGCACTCTCCATGTTTAGATAACGCGATTTTTTTGATATCTTCAAAAGTATGTTTTACAACACCTGCGCAGTGTGGACACCACGTTCCACAATTTTTAACTCTACGAAGTGGGGCATGCCATATATGATTCTTAGAACAGCGCCATAATAATGGGGTTTTATTATCTTTATATTCAGTTGAAAGACATATTCCACCATGAGATTCGACAATAATACAAGCATCATTTAAGGATAATTTTTTCATTGTGAACAGAGATTCACTAATTTAGATTTTATTCTTCTAATTTCAAAGGCGTGTCCCAACCCAGTCTAATCGCTAATGGATCATCTACTGGTTTAGTAAAATCAAAGACCACGAAATTTCGATCTCGCAAATGTTTGTCAATAATTTTAGATGCTTTTTTTGGATTACATCAGCAAGTTTTAAACAGGCGTATAAAGTGTTGAAAAACGCCATGTGTTGCTCAATGCCAAAAAACGTAGGGAAACGAACCCTTTGTCAATCAACGCCACCTAAAAACGTTGAAAAACGCGTAAAACAACACCAATTTAAATGTAAAACAACATACAGTAAAACAACAATAGTTTAAAAACGTGTATACAATGTATAAAAACGCGTATATTGATATTAAAAATGTGTAAAGCAATGATTTTATTGTATATTATTAATATATATATTATATAAAATATGTAAATTTATTTATGATAAAATACGTATCAATTCAAATACATTATCTAATGTAAATTCCTCTTGTTATAATTGGATTGCCGCGGATTTTTAAGCGATCAACGTACTAAATTTCCGTTGACATAGCGCCCCTGGTGACACAACCATAACAAGGTGGGAATGTGATTTGTACAACTGAATCACTTGATTGATCTTTCTACAAACTGAAACGCGATAATTATATTAATATTATTAACTGAATGATATTGCTAAATTGCAATTGATACATAATATAATGCATACTAGAATAATACATATAGATTAGAAGACAAAAAATGACAACAACGAATAATATCAAATTATAAAAGTCACGTGAACTTTTATTGCTCTTCTTCTAAATCAGCAACTTCTAAATCAGCTGCTTGATTATCGTCCGTCGTATGCTCATCATAAACATCATCAACACGATTATCAACTCCAATGATTTCATCATCATCGTCAATAGG